TGTTGCGAAGTGTTTATGGATATGCAAACTGTAGGTTATGAGGGATTTTTGGGATCTTTTTACTTCATATTTTTTAATTATTGTCTAAATGATTTTAATGTACAAAATGGAAAGAACAGAGAAGTAGTGACCAATAGGCAAAGAAAATTATATAGTTTGGGTGTTTGGATGCTGAAAAAATGGTTTCAATCAGTGTTTTGAAATAGATGTTTGATTGGTGAGAAAATTGTAATGTTTGGTAAGAAACTTTGCAGAGAAAATTTGATGAGAAAATATTGATTTAATTAGTAATTAATTAAAATTTTAATTTTGATTAAAATAAATAATTATAATTTAATGATAATTGATTAGTAAAATTTGATTTGGGATTTTTTTTATGCATTAAGCATTTTGATTTAATTTAATTTATCATGTCATTAAAAAAATTAAAAAAAAATTATATCTGATGTGTCATTAACAAAATTTAAAATTAAAAGGCTTTTTGTATTACATAATTTATCATATCATTAAAAAAATATAAAAAATGTGCCACATCATTAAAAAAATATAAAAGATATGCCACATCATTAAAAAAATATAAAAAATACCACATGTGCAGACTTAACGGCTCAAATTGACGGAAGGACCGACGATGTGCATTTCTTGAAGTTGAGGGATAAAAAATGTGCATAAAATTCATTAGGGACCAAAAATATGCAAATCGATAAAATTAAGGGACCAAAATGAGCATTTAACCAATAAATAACGAGAAAAGACTAGGGGTGTTTGGTACACCTTAAAAAGTATCAATATATATTAAATAAAAGTATCAATGTACATAAAGAATGAGTTTAGTTGAAGAATTCCTTAAAATTTTTCTAAACTTGCTCTTGTAAGGTTTTTTTTATATATTTTTACATATTAATATTATAATAAAAGAAGAATAAAAATAATTTTTTTATTTTTTATTTTTTTTAAACATAATTTTCAATTTATAAATTTTTTTATACTTTAAAAAAAATTTCTCTTGGTTTTTGTTATGTAAAATTCACTTGATATTTTTTTTAAC